CTTGCAAAGAAATTCTCACTGTAATTGATTATGAAAGGCGCCCAGATCATCATCTGTTGAAAGGACATTCATGAAAACCAGAGTCTGTGTTACTAAAGAATGGACATGCAACCTTGTTGAATGGCCAAATCAATAATGAATATGTTCCACAGACCAAGCAGAATGGCAGGCAACCAGCAATAAACTAATTTAACAACTGTTCAGCCAAGCATAGCACCTATCCGTCCAAAAGATTAAAAAAGAAAATGACCCTTTGCTCACATTAATTCACAAAATGCATTAATACAAGACCCCACCTTTCCGCTTGCAATCACACAAAATGGGTGCATTTTCACGAGCTAATTCTGTAAAAAGATCTATGGCATCAAAATTTGGGGACTGGGGCCAGTGATAGCCTCTTTTTTTTTTCTTCTTTTGGTTTAGTTGAGATGGACTCCCGTTGCGGCTGATGCTTCTGCCACTTCCGTTTGGGTAAGGAAATGATCCAGGAAGGAACCTCACAGCCTGATGCTGCCATCACATTAGCTACGTTACGCAAATAAGGTACATCATCTTCTGTGTAAAAGGTGATAGCCTGTCCACTCCTTCCTGCTCTGCCAGACCGACCTATTTACAAACATCAGTAACCACTTCAGTCGTGACCACAGAAAAAAAACACTCCAATCATTTAAAACAATAACTCTATGCAGAATGCTACAAACGTTATCAAATTGATAGCTGTGAGAAAGCATCTGCAAAAAAGAAACTGAAACAGATCCTAGAAAACACATGGAAAGCAACACAAATAATTGACATCAGATCCAAATGTGGCCGTGGATAGTTTCCATCTCATTTGGAAAGCATTAAAGGAACCATAGACTGCATAAAGCTCATGATACCCAAAATATATAGACAGCATCATGGCGACATGATAGTACAAGAAACGGCTTAAAGAAATTGGTCGTTGTAGCCATTCAATTTATTGAATGAAACTCGTGTTTCTCATAAGCGGAAGTTATTGGACAGGAGACTTCGAAAAGGTTAGGCAACATACCGATCCTATGAATGTATGCAGCAGCAGAATCCGGAAAATCATAATTGATCACAACGTTAACACCTTTGAAGTCCATACCCCGGGCTATAACATCTGTGGCTATCAAAACCCATGTTTGGCCTGCTCTGAAGCTATCAACTGCTTTTTCACGCTGTATTCAAACGTAAAAGATTAAGGATAAATAACTTACATATTTCTTAGCAAAGAAATAAGAAAAAAGTTCACCTATTGGTTTCAACACTAGAACAGGAAATGGAATTGCGAAGGCCCCATAAGTTAGAGCCTTTGAAAATTGCTAGTACCAAATGTCGACTTTTAAACTGATCGCTATATTAAAAGAATCGCTCAGGCAGGTACAGTAACAACAATATGATTACATATATTCAAATTCATTCCTCCCTCTTCATTACTCCATTGAGAGCTTAATAAGGCCCTCCAACTATGAAAAAATCTGACTGCTAGTTGCTTATTCAACCAGCTAATTCTTTTACTACATTTCCCTCATGCAAATTGGTGTAATTTGTTCGACAACAATGGGAATAATTACCTCGGCTTGAGACAAATCAGAATGGATGACATCAACTCTAATGCTGTCAAATTTTAATTCATCATAGAGTTCCTTTGCTCGCTCCTTACTTTGCAGAAAGATCAATACTGGTGGATTCAGGCTCTACTGCCAAGTATGAGATGGAAACAAACACAGTCAAAAGATGAAAATACTCCAGTTGAAGATATTAAGAAGACAAACCTAACATAGACAAGTTGGAGCAAGGTGTGCTCAATGAATTAACATAAAAAACTACCATCAGAATTTGCAATAGGCACGATAAGAAGTGTCAGCCACATTTTTCTCAAATCTGAATTAGAAACATTACACAGCCAATGGAAAACCATGAAGCAGTAACTCGGATTATCATAAGGCTCCTTAAACGTCCACAAGTAACCAGTGACATGAAAGAAATCAAAAACCAATATTGTTTGTGTTATCAACTTAAACTAAAGTAGTCATATAAATCTTCCATGAGAATGCATATTTTCCATCTAATCTAAACATTTCAATAAGACGTAAAATCTTCCAAGATTTTCTAATTCAAAGAGGAAGTTCTGTTTTGAAACAAAGAATCCCAAATAAGTGGAAAATCCATGACTGCTCATATACCTCAGTAAATATTTGACGAAGGGCAAGAAGTTTCCCTTCTTCGCTTCCAGCAAAAACTAATTTTTGCTTGATTGATTCAGAAGCAGTATTCCTGCACAAAATTTCAACAAGAGGCACATGAAGATATTACCTCTATTATTTTGAAAAGGCACTATGTTATGCTTACTTTCTCCCAACAATAACTCGGACAGCATCATGCATTATTGTACGTGCTAACTCCTCAACAAAATCAGGTAAAGTAGCATTAAATAATGCACGCACAATTGAAGGATTAGAGCAAGCTTTGACAACAGAATCAATCTGTTTTAATAACCCAAGTTCAAAGAGCTTATCAGATTCATCCAGGACAAGAAATTCAACCCTGCACAAGGAAAACCCAGTGAGAATCTATTATATGACAACTTTAGATCTTTTGCCAAAGTTATAAGCCACAAAATAAGTCACTTTAGAAAAAATAAATTAAATAAGTAAATGAATAAGAAGCCACAAAATAGGTCGGATGGAAATTTTTCATCAGTCATTAATTTGGAAACTAATGTCAGACAGGTTTAGATATTTAGGAATTTTAGGAGACTTCAAACAGTTTTTATCATTTGAGAATAACATTATCACATTTGCTAATCAATTCTTCATAACAGCATTATCCACAATTTTAGCAGATGGATCAAAGCAGCTAGACTAATTCTTTACAAGCTGTGCCCATAGGGAGACTTGTAGGCATCTCATTTGCCATCGGGCAATTTGTGTTCAAAAATATATCAAGAAATAGCAAAAGGCATCTACGATTCATTTCAAAAATCAAAGTGTGGCAAGCTGCAAATATGTGCCCTTAAGGTTTGGACCATCAAACATAGAATCCCAACCAAAATAGAAAAATAAGAGAAAGAAAGAAAACAGAACCCCAAGTTATCCATCAGTCAATCACCGGGTACTTAAGCATGTATCTGACAGTCAAACCATCAAAATTCGTATTTTTGAAGAGAGTGGAGTTACATAGAGAACCGCAAAGATTATAGTCTAGTACCAACTATGACAATCAACGAAAAGGACACAAACAAGGAGAGGGCAGTCAGGAAGAGACTTGAATTACGTTTGGCCAAATTATTTCATGGAACATGAGTATAAATTACCATAAGAAGAGGCAGATTATTAGAGGGTGCATAAGCAGATAGAAACCTGATGTATCATGCTTACAAGAATCCAAGATGGAGACACTCAAACAGGGCCATCCACAGTCTTACAAAATACGAAGGAGATGGGGTGGAGATATCTGTCAGCTAGTGCCATGGAAGAAGGGAGCATTGAGATGCAAGGAGGTTATACTGAATCAAGGCTCTACTTCGTGCATTTTTTAAGACTGTAGAAACAGAAGGAAGTAGGTGTTCGCTGGAATCTACAGTAGAGGGGAAGGAAGCGAGAGAAATTTACCATGGAAGGACTTGAAGACCTGCAAGCGAAAGTGGGATTGATCGTGGCTTGTGGGATGGGATCTTAATATGGTCTTAAATAGATAAGAAAGGACCAGAGAGCACTTTTTTAGAATTTGTGCTGAAGAATTCAAGGAGACTTCGGATAAACTTAACTCAAAGGACTTGGCTCTCATAGGAGATAAATGGATTTGGTCAAATCAAAGAGTCAACCAAATGTGCTCAAGGATAGACAGATTTTTAAGTGTCAGCGACATGCCATTTACAGGCAACAGCTCGTAAAAAGCTATTACAGAAACTCATATCCGACCATTTCCCTATTTGTTTGGTTTTTTATGGGATTAAATGGGGACACATCCCTTTCAAATTTGACAAGTGGTTAAAAGTGAATGGATTAAGTGATAAGGTCAATGATTGGTGGAGAGTGACTGTAACGAGGAAAGGCAAGTTACAGAGTTACCCAAAAGATGAAGGCTGTAAAATCTGAAGTCAAGAAGCGCAAGGCAGAGGGAAGAAGAGAAGGTATGAATATTCAACATTTACTACAGGATATAGAGGTAATTACAGGAGAGAGAGTGAAGGTGATATGTCCATTGAAGACTTGATTCGTAGAGAATCTCTCAAGTTTGAATTGGCAACAATGTACGTATGGAAGAAATTTCTTGGAGACGGAAATTGACAGAAAGGTGGATAAATGAATGGGACAGGAACACAAAATATTTTCACAGTATGGTCAAGCACCATACAAATGAACAAGGTGGAAGAGTTGGATAACGATAATTGGTTAGTTCAAGGCAACAAACAGATGAGACAAGAGGCTGGGGAGCTCTTTTGCTGGTTCTACAGTGAGACGTTCAGTTAAAGGCCTAAGCTGGATGGTCTACCGTTCAGGATGTTAGATTAGACAAGTTGCCTATCATTAAAGAGAGAGTTCAATAAAGAGGAGATTTTTGAAGGAATAATGCGCCGCAATAAAGATAAAGCTCCAGGCTTTGGTGGATTATAACCAGGGAGAAGATTGAATTATTTCCATGTTCAGCATTTTGACTAGAGCATTAGCAAAAGAGGCCAGTTTGCCTGTTGGTGTCTTGAATGTTATTCATGGAACCAATGTATGTCTTTCATCATCTCATTAGAATTTGAAATCTTTTCCTCTTCTGTATCTTTCTATTTTTGTTCTTGTGTTAGTCTTCTTGCTTTTGTTACGTTTGTGGGGTGTTCGTCGCCTTTGGCGACGGGCATGCCCTGTCGGCCATGTTCATAGGTTTGAGAAAATTCCTGGTTATTGATCATAAATCCTTCAATGTGATGGTGGAGGGAAGGGGAGTAAGGGTTTTTGAAAATGGGAAGGGATTCGGAAAATCGATATTTTATCAGAAGGGGGTTCTAGAATGGTTGTTGAAATGCTTTAAAGAATTTAGATGGGAGAAGGGGGAGGAAGCTTGGGGTAGATGTCGACATAGTAGTTGGAGAACCTTGTAGATGGCGCTGAGTGGAAACAGAAATGGGAAATCTCTTGTGTTTTCCGAGGAGAAGGAAGGACCAAGATGGAGAATCAACAGATTATTCCTCCCTGAGGGTGAGAAAGCTAAGGGGTGGTGGAAGATGATGGAAGCACTTCATGAGGTGATAGGAGTTAAATTGAGTCCTCTAGAGTAGTTACCATCGAAAGGTAAGAGAATGAAATCTGCTCCAGAACAGGAAGATTTGACATCTTTTTTTGTAAAATGCATGGGATGTAAACTGGAGTTAGGATTTCGATCTTTCATACGGAATGGTCGCTCCTTCGCCGAAACCCTAATGAAACCTGAGGTGAATGGCAGTTGAGTGGAGGAGGAGACTTAGTCGGGTCGGGCCATGACAGGTAAGGGAATTTCAAATTTTGAAATTGTCCCTGAAGGTGGTCACGTGAGAGAGGCAGGGCGGGAACTAAAAAATGGATTCAAAAGGAGTGGGCCAAGGAGAAACGAGAGGTCCAGATGAGTTGGAGGCAGAAAATTCTTGTGGGCTGAGAAAGGAAAGCGGGTTGAACAACCTGAACCGAGTAGTGTTCCGCATCGTAAACGGGTAAGTGTTTGGAGACAAAAGCAGGTTGTGCCCGGTTTCTTGGAATTAATGGACAGTAGAGTGATGGCTAGGGTTCCTTGCCCGAAAGTTAGAGAATCGAAGAAAACATCCCAATAGCTCTTCTGTGGGGACTGACAAAGAGAGATTCGCATTGGAAGGGATCGGTGAGAAGGTTGAAGAGATGGTAGATGAAGGAGACGAGAAAGACGATGCATTTTTTGTGGGTCTGTCTACTGATGGGGAGGTTGGTGAGGAAGAAGAGATGAGGGTGATGGAGGTCAAAGCGGTTGATTCTATCGTGGAAAACCCGAGGATGTACGAGTTAATGGTGACGGAGGATATAAGCTCAGAGGTTTTGGAGGTATCGCCTATTTAACGCGACAATCTCTTCCTTCTTGAACCAACGCTTTTGATAGAGGAGACGGATGGAAAGAGGTTCTACTCCGACTGGGTTCAGGAGAATTTTCTACAAGTTAGTAAGATGTTGAGTGTATCTTTTAATGGGATAGAAGATAGAATTCTTAATCTGCTTGAGGAGATTGAGTTTTGGTATCAAGCAGCGGGAAGAGAAAAAAAGAAAGAGAAGAAAGTCAAAAAAAGGCAGGTGGACGGAGAGAGTCCGGAGTTAAAGAGGCTACAGTGATCTGTAAACTATGACCAAAAGAAGAGTAGCAGAAGGGGAGGGGGGGT